TCTCACCGGCACCACCTTGGAGGTCAAATGTTATACCTATTTCGTGGGATGTGCCACTGGTGGTTACGTACGAGGGACGCCCAAGCCACGCCATAAGGAGCTTCGCCCCTAAAAAAAACTTTCACCTATGACCCAGTGGGGCTTAAACCCGGGTCCGCTGGGTACCAGCCCGATATTCTACCAGTGAGTTACGCCGGTGTTTGTAACTTGTCAAACTTGCCTTAGGCAGGCATGACCTAGCCCCAATGGCACAGTGTGGCTCAAACCCGGGTCCGCTGGGGGCCAGCCCAGAATTCTACCACTGAGCTACACCGGTGCTTGTGAGTTGTCAAATTTGGCTTAGGCAGGCTTGATGTCGGGAAAGCAATCGCGTTAATACGACTTATAAAGCGAAAGAACAACAAGTCGTCGCACAATGCGAATAGCGTAACGAGCGCGCCGTCTAACGCTCCAACCCATTACGAAATCTTTTTTTTTTTGTTTCCTTATTAACTGTGGCGCATACACACTTCAGCCTTAATTCCTCATCGTCGTCAGCCACTGCATGGACAATTGGCACAAAATTCCTTGAAAGTGTTTAGCGGATGCCACGCTTCTCAGAAGAATGAAAACAAATAGCTTATCGAATGCCGGCCTACTACCCAAAAGCTTATTATGAATGCCCTAATGGGTACCAAGCAAGTGTGCTTGCAGTAGTTACCCAATGAGTGCTTTGAAAAGGCTCTGAAAGGCCGCTTTTCTAGCTTTCGCTGTGACTGTGCCGCGCCTACCGCACAGGCCTGGCGTTTTTTTTTTCTTTTGAGCAGATTACCGTGGCTATTTCCTCCTTTTTAACACTCTTTATTTTCATTTGTGTATCAACTTTTTGTAATAGCCACCTTATGTCGTGAGTGTTCTGTAGTTACGTTGTTAGCATTTCAACGCGTTCGGATCCCGGCTGCGGCGGCTGCATTTCCGATGGAGGCGGAAATGTTGTAGGCCCGTATGCTCAGATTTGGGTGCACGTTAAAAAACCCCAGGTGGTCGAAATTTCCGGAGCCCTCCACCACGGCGTCTCTCATAATCATATGGTGGTTTTGGGACGTTAAACCCCACATATCAATCAATCAAGCATTTCAACGCGCAGAATTTTATTGTGCAAATGAGCTGTCATGATTCAAACATTTCCCATTGTCTTTTTTGTTTTATGCCACATGATGCAGTAATCACTACCTTCCCGTTTTTGCTGAAGTATCATTTCTGTGTGCTTCTCGTTCTCGACCGTATGTATTTACATTATTTCAACAAGAAGATGTTTAACACGTCGATTGAATCGATCAATCAACGTCTTAAACGTTTTCTTGTAATAATTCCCTCAAACAAGGCCTCTCATGGTATGTAAGGTACTTTTCATTAAACAAATAACTTAAAAGTCACAGCTTTACCGCAAAAGCGAAAGAATGAACGTGGTAGCAAAAAATTGGAAGGTCACACGCAGAATGGCAAACAGATCGAAACATTCCCCGCGTTTCTCACGCGAATGACGCGCGAAACGTACTCACAGGTACACATATACGCAAATAAACGTCTCAGTATTTACTTTGGTGTGTATTAAAAGCACGCCCTTTTTGAAAAACAGAGACTGCAACGATTGCAGTGATCTGTGTGCACCCAGTAACTACAACTAAATCGCTCACGAGAAAGCCACAGGCAAACCAAGACGTACGATTGTCCCCACCACGAGATAAGCGCACGCCTGAGCGGAACACCGAATAAATTTCAAGGCCGAAGGGCTGCAGCAGGGACGTAAGAGGGTGGGGGCCCAGTTACGCCGCGAAGGCGGCGGAAAGCCCGTGTTTCGTTCGCGTTTTAGGACAACCAACGCTCCCGCTGTCACAGCTGCTGCGGCTAGATAGGGCCGAATAAAAAATGTGAGAAAAAAATCTTACTGAGCATGCTCAGGAAGTTAACTGGGCCCCCACCCTCTGACGTCACTGTGGCAGCCCTTCAGCTTTGAAATTTAGTTGGTGTTGGTGATCGTCCATGCTCCCCGTCTCCGCGGGAAAAAGTATGCGTGGGAGATGAAAGCACGCGCCGCCGCGTCATGACGATGTGGCGACGTGCGCTCATTGCGACATCTTGCTGGTAATGCTGAAAACACGATATTTCACCCTGAGATGCCCATCACCAGCTGTGTGTGGTAGATATAAATAGCTTCGTGTTAGAACGTCGAAGGAGTTGCTCCTTCGTGGCTCAGTGGCTAACGCCTCACACTCGCATTTGGGAGGTCCCACGTTAGATTACGTGCGCCGGAGTCTTTTTGTGCATTATCTTTCCCAGTTGTATTTTCATATACATAAATATGTATTTATATACGGCGAGTGACGGTGACGCCAACGTTGACGCCGACGCCGGTGACAAAATCCAACCGAGAGTGTCCATATAATTAATATCGTAATAATAAATAATAAATAAATATGTTCCCTCTGAGAATTTTCCCAAATATGCCGTAGTTCTTTGCCATATAGCAACTAAACTATGTTTTTAGCCCTTTTAGAAAAAATGCTTGTTTCCGTGATCCTAACAGAGCCCCGCCGCGATAGTCTAGTGTCTAAGGTACTCGGCTGCTGAAGCGCAGGTCGTGGGATCGAATCCCAGTGACGGCGGCAGCATTTCCGATGGAGGCGAAAATGCTGTAGGCCCACGTGCTGAGATTTGTGTGCACGTTAAAGAACCCCAGGTGGTCTAAAGTTTTGGAGCCTACAACTACAGCATCTCTCATAATCATATGGTGGTTTTGGGACGTTAAACCCCACATATTATTCAATCAATGAAACCAATCAAGATCTCAACAGAAGTAGCATTCTGTCCGCTTCTTGTTCTATCATTTTTATCGCTGGCAGAAGGCATTCAATCGTGTATACAATCGTCTCCCCTCTCATCTTAATTTTTTTCTAAGTTAGAGTTGGCCACGCAAATGGGCACTCACATATCTACACAGACATCTGTTGTAGTCTCACGAGTCTCAGACAACCGTCAAAACGGAGTTCTTCCGAAGAAAATACCTGGCTCGACCTCTGAGGCAACCTACAACAAAATTCTCATGTAAGCGGCCACAAAAGCCTAGTGAACAACGTAGAGTACACGCCCAAATTTGATTACTCATCAGATGAACACTGTACAATTCAGCTGATTCTTGCGCTTTGCATCGAGTAGTTTGTTCCTTCTGAAGCCCAATTATTTTGCTCGTTTCAATATATAAAGTGCGACTCTTCAAATGAACACACAAGTGTACGTACCACGCGCAGTACACGTGCACTCGCTTAGTTTGACGACTTAGTATTTTACTGCTACCGCAGAGTTCGAAAATGCAAATCACTGAAATTATAATATTATAATATGTATTTTTCTTTACCAAAAATGAAGTGTACTTTGAAAAGTACTCTGGGGGCAAATGGGTTTTAACGTAGTATTTCATACTCATCAGGCGTCTCTTGGCGTATGTTCTGCCATAACTGTGTGAAATGCTGTCACACCTCACTACACCACGTGCGTAGCGTAGTAAGCAGCCATGGGTCATGCCCGACTACCTGGCTAAAACTGAATTCAAATGTCGATGTCCATTGCGTTCACATTTTTTAGAACGCTACCTCTCGCTTCGACGTCGACCATCTTTTAGCGCCGAGCGGTGGTGGTCGATAGCCCATACTGGCAAAACTAAACGCACCAACCGACGAAGGGGCCATTCCCGTAGGACGGTAAAGAAAAGACCCTATATTTATACTCTGACAAGATGACGTTTCAGTTTAGAACTCGACAGCTCAAGGAAGACGAAGCAACATACACACGAAGGAAATAACGTACAGGATCCTACTTGGCGTCAGGAAAAAGGAACGACACGACGTAGTAAAAGCAGTGGGACAAGTCGACGCTGCCCTGGTGCGATACCACAACCCAATCCTTTCTCACGACAAGCCAGTGCATGCGCCCTTTCCCAGCGAAAAAGTCACGGAACGCCTCTTCATTTGAGAGGCTTTCCTTCGTGCAGTATCGGTTGTCCCGGCCTCTACTAAACACGTACCAAAATGACAGAGACCACAACAGGAACACGAAAGAGACAAATTGGAGCGCTCGATGAGGATTCTCTGAAGTTGACGTGCATCATGACGCCCACAAAGCCATTGTTTCAGTGAACACTGGATCTTTCGCAGTCAAAATGAAGACAGGCGGAACGACCTGGCTTCGCCCTTAAATATAAGATTCTAACTTGTTGACTCGTACAAACACTAGACACAAAAGGACGCCGAGCCAGTGTGGTTCTAATACAATATTGCCAGCGAAGCCACTATCATACACTTTTCTAAAAGAAAACTCTGATTGCGCACGCCACATAAACAAACCGCAAAAATTTTAAACAAACCTTGTCACTGTTCTGCATCGATTTTTTTCCTAAATATTGTGCCCTAACGTCTGTTTCTAGTTAATATTCAAAGCCATGATTGCACCCAACTTTGTAAAAACAGAATGCCGAATTTTGACACTAGAAAGATGGGCTTGTTTATGGGGATTTTTTTTTTCAAACACAGCACAGACCCGCTGTCAGAGGCATAGGAGCAGGTAACAAAATCTTCTCATATGTAGATATTGCTTTAGCGCCGATCAGTTTCAGCGTCAAGAAAAGATGCCATGCAGTAAAGAAGGGGGAAAAACAGACAACAGTGTGAACGCTCACAATTTCGCCTGTTTTTCCCCTTTTATACTGTATAGTTTTTTTTTTCTTCACGCTCAAACTGACCTGCGCTAAAGCAGTATTCATTTATCGGGCACTAACTCGCCCTGTCAGCCGTACTTTTCATACGTCCTCGTCAGCACGCCTACGTTATTTAACGTCGTCAACTTTCGTGGGGGTACAACGCTTAGATTACGAAGCATGAGGTTATTGTTATGCCGAAGCAACAACATAGTGGACATGTGAGAAGTTTTGATTTCATTAACGATTATGGAAGAAATAGCATTCTCACCTGAATGCCTTCCACATCGAAACACCATGAGCAATGCCACCCCGCGTAGCGTGGCCATGTCCCCGTTATTGTCCACGTCTCTCTGAGCGTTCCCGTGTTTGGCAAGTTCTCTTGTGAAAACATTTCCATCCTACGGAGCCGCACCGAGTCGTCTTCATAGACATCTCGAATATAAGCCACCGTGCACACACCGCTCACATCTATAGGTATGCTATTCTCCCAGAAGAAGCCATAGATAAACCATCGCAGCCGCAGCTTCATTGGTTCACCGAAACCATCGTGATGCTTAAGGAATAGCACCACGTCTCGGCTAGGTATTTCGTCAGCGTCGGACATGATGAAGAGGTCATCATCTCGGATGTTCGTCAACCGGCGGTGGCCTTCGTACCAAACGGATGTGCGGAAGTAGTTTTCGGGGCCCCAAGGATCCCCTCCGGCGTAGTTGTAGAAGTCCACAGATATCGGAACAATCTTGTGCTTATGCTCACGCAGAAATCCGGCACTAAGGTTGTTCTTGAGGTATAATGGCTTTTGCGTGCCGAAGTACGTGTATGGAGATTCAACGACGAGATAATGGTCAACAGCGTCGCCCAGCTCTTGCACACGAACCTCCAGCAGGTCAAGCTCATGGTTGAAGACCAGCCCATTTATTACTTTGCGTGGCTTCGAGCGCCGTCGAATAAGACCTTCAGAATACCATCTCTTGAAATCTGCTGCAAACCAAATGGTTTCGGGTATGGAGCACTCTCGCCCATGCCAACCCTTCTTGCAGACGCATGTGGAGGGTTTCATTGTTGGTACACTACCTTCCTGAAAGCATTTGACTGGATTCACGCGAGGCACTGTCGTAAGATTTGAGTTCACAGGACGAACTCTTACGTATGGTGACGATGAGTTGGGAAGCTCTTTCAGCTTAAGGCTCGGCACACCTCTTGCATTAAGCGCTCCAGTGGGGACTGTAGAACTCCTCTTTCGATTCAATGAGCTTCTCACTTGGTTGTAGTGCGAAACGTAGACGAATACAACGGCGGAAACAAAGCCGAAAAAACACAACGTCGCGATCATTGTTTTGAACCTTGGAAGCATGACAAGGTTTTCTTGTGACACGGAAGTCGTATTACTCCTTACCCAAGGTTATGGAATGCGAGCAAGAGAAAGTACAGTATGAAGAAGTCTCAGATGATACAAGCATTTGTAGTAAGCAGGCTTCTACGATCGAGTTCACGCTGCCTCTGAGACAGATCGGTTCTCTTCATGTATTGCCAGTTGTGTGATGACGCACATTCTTTCTTTCAGCACCTGTGTAGAGACTAATGATATATTTGGTCTGTGTGCGAAATAAAACCGGTACAGAAAAGTTTCCAGCTGTGGCAGTACTCACTTGTCTATTGAGGGGCGTTGTCAATCTTTTCTTTTTGATCTATAGTTTTCGAAAGGCGTTTTTTTCACAGCGGGTATCTTGTTACTTGAGCGTCGAAGTCAAGACGATTGAGTCGGGTTTAATGTCACGGACAGAAATCGTAGCGTAGTTCTTCTTGAAGTGAAAAGTATCCGGCTATTATTCGCTATTACAAGCTCATAGCACTTTCTATCGTGTAAGCGTCCTGTCCTTTATAATATAAAACCTTTATCTTTACGAAGCGGCGACGATACTATGCCTAACATACTTTGCAGGAGCTGAACCATGCTCATTCATTGAGATACGCAAGGTATACACAACATTGCACTCGACGTGATTTTAGTTTTTTTTCTTTATATTTTTAGAACAATGCTTGTCAAATGAACATAGCAAAGGGTAATAATGTCCGTCAGAAAATGTGAGTGACGTTTCGATTCGCCTTTTCTACGGTGCGATGCCGTACGCGTTCTTCATCGGACGTTAATTATTATCGTGGAACGTTGCTTGATCCTGGAGGCTGTGATTCGGGCAATATCGGCCCTACAAGCTCTTACGAAAGCCCTCTTTTACTAGCAGAGGGCAACTCAAAAAATATCAAGAACGGCAGATTTGTGGACCCCTTTTTTTCACGGTTGTACTGTGCGTTCATATTGTGGCAATGTGTCGCTGCTTAGTTGTTGCTTCTGTTTCCTCGGCACGTGCAACTACGTCACTGAACTTCAGCCACTACGTTCGCCATCTACAGGCGCCATCGTTCGCCATTGCTCGTCATTTTGGCAGCAGTGGTTGCGGCTGTGTGCAAGCATTGACCTTTGTCTTCACTCCGTCCAGGTTCCTTACGTGTTGATAGTTCCTTCAGTTTTGCGTTTTTTCCCGCTTCTACTGCTGTCTTTGACATAGACTGTTTTATTGTGTGCTTTGTATTTCGGTTTATTCTCTTCATTGCTTATCCTGAAAATGCCGACTTGTGTGGAATTAGCAAAGGAACTACGGGCTCTTCGGCAGGAGGTTGTAGAGATAAAAACAAGCCTTGCGATGTTCAATGAGCTGTATGAACATGTTGTGAAGAAGATGTGCCTGCAGCAAGCAGCATCGCCAACGCCCGGCTCTCTCGGCTCGTGCTTCGGTTCGTTGCTGTGCCGATCGCTGGACGGTTCTTCACGCTGTCTCGTCGCTGTCTTTAACGGCTAATAAACCTCCTCACATTTGGTGGAGGTGCTGTTAATCCCCGTTGCTACACCCTGGAGCTGCGAAGCCGCACGCTACCATTTGTCATGACTACCAACGCCACTACATCGACGCCTTCACTCCAGTTCAACTTCCCTGGCCATGCTAGGCTGCGGGAGCCGAAGGTCTTCAGCGGTGCGGATGGGACCGACGTCGAAGACTGGCTCGAGCACTACGAACTGGTGAGCGCCAACAATAAGTGGGATGAAGCCGACAAGCTGGGCCACGTGATATTTTATCTCACTGGCGTCGCCGAATTGTGGTTTAATAACCACAAACACAACATCCCCACATGGAGCGTCTTCAAGACGTCATGTGCTGAAGTGTTCGGTCGGCCGGCTGTCCGCAAGCAGAGGGCGGAACAGCGCTTGCGCGTCCACTCTCAGCAGACTGGCGAGACCTTTACCAGCTATATTGAGGACGTCGTCGACCTTTGTCGACGTGGGAATGACACCATGCCCGAATCTGACCAGGTCAAAAACATCCTGAAGCGCATCGACGACGGCGCATTTCAAATGCTCTTGGCAAGAAATCCGAGCACAGTTTCCGAAGTCGTCAGCCTGTGTCAGAGCTACGACGAGTTGAAGAAACAACGCACTCTGACTCGGCAGCCTCAGCATGGTGGTGAGTCACTGTCCAGTTTCGACAGACAATTCACCTGCCGGACAATTCACCGCTGCTTTCTCACGGACGAAGTTCGAGCCTTCGTCCGTGAGAAAGTCGCCGGCCAACTTTCCCTTGTGCCCTTCACTCACGAGACCACCACCCGTCTACCTGCCTCGCTTCGCACTGCTATTTCGGAAGAGGTTGCCCAAGCTGTTCCTGTTGCGCACCACGAGCCGCCTATATCCAGCCTTGCCCACTGCCAGCGTGCCGCGCAGCTGGTAGGCCCTCCTGTTGCCTATCCGCCAGCCGTGCAGCCTGTGGCCACGCCCCTAATGTATGCAGCGCAGCCTGTGGCTCCTCCTGTCGCCTTCTCGCAAGTGATGCAGCCTGTAGCAGCGTCGTTCACATATGCAGACGCTGTGCGTAGGCTTCCGCAACCACCCTACACCTCGCGCTCACAGCACGCACACCCGGCAGCTTATACTGCACCTTGGGCGGCACCACCAGTAGCCAATTCTTGGAGGACGCCCGATAACCGACCGATATGCTACGCCTGCTTTACTCCCGGACACGTTGCCCGCTATTGCCGCCGTCGACCTCAGACGTTCGGCGACTATGTCTGATCGTCGCAACCCGGCAGCCAACCCTTCGCGCAATACGGGCCGGTCTCGTCACCTCGCTATGCCCATCCTAACGGCATCTTAACGGCTAATAAACCTCCTCACAATGTAAAGAATGGCAATGAGGCACTAGCAGAGGAAAACAAGGTCCTGAGAGATGAGAATAAGCAACTCGGTAAAAAGGTGTGTGATCTTGAACAATATTCGTGGCTCAATAATATTTAGCTGAAAGGAATTCCTGAGACAAAGGGCGAGAACTGCCTGGGAGTTGTCCAAGTTATCAGTGATTGGTTGTCCAATTGCTGATACGGACATTGACACTGCGCACCGGGCGCCTGCAAAAATTGGAAGCAACATTATTGCGTGATTTTGTTCGAGAAATAAGAAGGTTGCATTTGCCAAAAAGGCAAGGAAGGCGCGGCTGTCTACCACAGATATTGGATTTCCTCAAAGCGTAGGCCCTATACCAGTGTATGTCAATGATCACCTCACACCCGAGCGAAAACGTCTGTTTGCGCAGGCCCTAGCCCTAAAAAAATAAAAATCAGTGGAAGCATCGTTGGACCGACAACTGCACAATTAAAGCCAGGAAAGCGGATGTCAGCAGCTTGTTTCGAATTGCATGCGCAGAAGATCTTCGCACACTCTGTTATATATCCTATCACTCCTCAATTTTAATCAACCTTCGTTAAACATGACTACGTTCTCGTGCCAGCAAACACCTGAATTGCTACACGAAAAGTCACCAGCGCTATCGCATCTGCATTTAAACAATCGCAGTCTTAGGAAACATCAGGATGATCTTGTCGCATTGGTCTCATTGCTTGATCATTCATTTTTTGTAGTATGTTTATCTGAGACTTGGATATCTGACAATGAGAGTACTTGTATAGATTGCCAGATTATTATTCAGAATACTGTAATCGAGAGTTTGGTCGTGGTGGGCGCGGTGCCATACTCGTTAATTCATCTTTAACATACACACGCTGCCTTGACATCATGTTCAACAATAATTCGTGTGAATCAGTCTAGCTTGAATTGAACCACAATATTATACCAGTCAATAGCCGCAACACTATCATAACTTTCATTTATAGGTCACCTTCATCATCATATTCCGACTTTTGTCTTCAGTTAAACAGCGTTTAACAACCTAGTGAAAGAAAATAAGAACGTTGTCTTATGTGGCGATTTTAACATAAATATCATTGATTCTGAGAGCGCCTCGTGCCTGGAATATATTCACTGTTTACTCACTACTGGCTTTACTACGTATATTTCCGCACCACCTAGAAGCCTCTTAGGTTCGAAAACATTATTGGATAACGTAATCTCGAATATTTCAAGTGATCACATTGCTGGTGTGTTAGATCATAATATTACAGATCATAATCCAGTTTCTTTATTTCATTTTGGGTTCCAAAAATACCAAGGTCAGTAATGTTTTCACTAAACGCCGATTCGATTCAGATAAATTTGGGCAAATAACTAATGCAGTCGACTGGACTTCAGTGGCTCGTGAGGACTGCGCAAAAAAGGATTTTGAGGCTTTCTCAGAAGTAATTGCCAAAAGTATAGAGGCATGCACCACTTCGAGTACTGTCACGAAGTGGTATCGTTCACCCACAAATCCATGGATAACTAACCCATTGTTGAAGTCTTATAATAAAAAGAATAACCTTCAACAAAAACTCAAGTTGCAGCCTTTCAACATTGCATTAAAATCCCACTTCCAGAAGTATTGATCGATAATATCTTCTTGAAGCGTGCTAAACAAAATTACTACCAGGATATTATTTTTAAATGAATACGGGTAACACGAGACATTGCTGGAAAATCATTAAACATTTTTGAACAAAAAAAGAGTGCTTAGCAACCACAATAAAAATAAAGCAAGGGGAAGAGATGTCTACCGGCCCAGAAAAAGTGCCGCCACATCCACGAAGTGAATGATGATGAGTGGGCGAAGCTCCGGAGGTAAACCTGGTAAACCATGAATCCTCCGTACATTTTGCCCACTCGATTTTATTGCAACGCTCCCCCTAGCGTACGTCGCCGCACTATATCGAACGATGACACGCGCCATATGTGGCATCATTCCTATTTTATAACACCTCACATCTTTCATAATCAACTACACGTACCGCCGTCTAGTTTATAACATCTTGCATCTTTTGGATGGATGGATGGATGGATGGATGGATGGATGGATGGATGGATGGATGGATGGATGGATGGATGGATGGATGAATGGATGGATGGATGGATGGATGGATGGATGGATGGATGGACGGACAGACGGACGGACGGACGGACGGATGGATGGACGGACGGACGGACGGACGGACG